TGAAATCAAGAAAACATGCCCAGGCGACAATACTTCCGATTCTGTCGTGGATGAGCCTGCTAAATCTGCAGTTGTGAAGTCCGAAACTAAAGCCGAAGTTGAACCTCCTTAAACTATCGAACATACTGTACAGTTGCGAAACTGGAACCTGTGGTCAAGCCCAATCCTGAGCCTACTACTTGCCGCGACAGAATGGAAAAGGATGCACGAATGTGTGATTATGCAAAAGAGGGAGAAGATCCTCATGAAGATAAAGGAGTAATATCACCCTGGTTCGATACCGATGAGGAGTGTATGGTAAAGGCAAATAGAAGAGGCCTCCCATTATAATTTTCGATTTTCCGGTTTCCGAATTGAAAAATAACTAGGCTAATATATCCAACCGAGTAATAACTCTGGCTACTAAAATAACTGTTCAAAGATCCCGAAAGCCAAAGACCAACGACTTCGTCTCCGCTTTAGGGATGGTTTTAGAGAAGTACAATTTGTCGGTCGACTCCACCCCGGAGCAATTAAGCGAACATGCTAAGGAGTAAGGAACTTGGAACTTTTCTTCCCGATTGGAAAGCCCGCAAGTGCATTAAAGACAACGCCCTTAGAAGACGCTCATTCAGAAAGGAGCAGGTAAAAGCTTTCGTACCGGACGAAGGGAAAGAGAAGCTCACTAGGAAAGGGCGAAATATTACGTTGAAACTGGCGATAAATATGTCATCCACCTCCATACACTCGATTTGGGCCCAAAAAGTAACGATGAAAATGAAATAGTCGCTGGGGGCTCCCGCCAATCACTTTCGCATAAAATTAGCAGAAGCTGGGGTGAGCCTGAAGTTATCAACACCTATGCCAAAGAACAAATCCAGAAAAGCGGATTGAGAAACGATTGATTAAACCGGCGAAAATTCAATCACATTTCTCCATGAAGAAGGAGCTTAAAAGGATTGAGAACATCGACACTACTAAAACTTCCCTCTATGCAGATGTAATGATAATGCTGAGTGTAAGGACCGCAGAAGTCATGACTCTTCGGATTTTCCATTATGAACCCGAATCCCAAATCCACCAGAATGGTATAAAGAAGGGTATTCTTGGTATTGCACAGGATATACAGTATCAAGAATAGAGGAGAAAGGAAGGAAAATCCTGAGCCCAGACCATTCCTTCAATGGAGAAGAATCTGAAACGCGCAAGGGACTTGCTTACCTGGATACAAGATGCCATTAGTTGCGTGATCCTGTCTTTAGTGAAAGTGGGAAGCGTAGTACAAAGCCATTTAGCACCTTTCTAAGACCCATAAGACTCTTCCGAAAGATCTAAGGACATAGGAACTAAGCATGCTTCCAGGATCGTGCAACCACACAATATCTTAGCCTTCTTACAAGAATTGCATTGAGGCAAGAATCGGACAGATTAGATGCGAGAAATAGGCGAAACGGACTCGGAAGACTCTGACCCAGATCCTGATTCCGATTACGACTCTGAGACGGAGACCGCGGAAAATAAAAACTGAAATAATAGCTACTGATTTCAGCAAGTCGGAATTCTTAGTGATCGCCATCCGAGACCGCTGCTGTGCTTGTGTGACAGAAAAAAATCGAAAGAAATAAATACGCAAACTGCCACCTCTTTTCTTTTTCCCCTGAACAAACACGAGAGGAATATGAAAATGCTTTGTTGGGCACAGGGCCTATCACATAAATTAATATAACGTCAAAAGCATATGTTATGAAAGGCCGAGGACTTCGCAATTTTCAAGATCGCCAGGCGTAAAACCACTTTGAGTCTTGCGAGGAAGATCGCTAAACTAAAAGTAATCAAAATTCTGTATCAAAGGCTTCTTGGTATCATACGACAATGTTAATCGCCTTCAGCCCTCGGGTTTTTATTCCGTGAGCCCCCAGAAACAAGATATACAGCGTGAGGGAACCGGTAGAAGTTCGGTCAACCTTCTCGCGAAAAATTAAGGTGTGTATATGTCGGAAGTTACATACGGTGATTTCATAAATTCTCACCACCTATGGTGGGCCTTGAATTTAGGAAATCAAGATGGCTGATATTACATTCCCATCGATGGCTTTATTGGATTTCCACGCAATTCCATCGTTACAATCTCCAATGGAGAAATGGTTGAAAATAGTGTTCCAATCCATTAAACCGTTATCCGTCGGATTACGGATATCCGCCAAAAAATTCGGATTTTTCGGATAACGGATAATACCGGATTGGATTTCTCGGATAATTGAATAATGGACAATAACGACGTTGTCCATCAATAATCAATAATATCTCATAAATTTGTTTTTATCCGATCCGATTATCATTCGGATATCCGGAATCCGGCGGATAAACAGATGATGGATATCCTCGGATTGGAACACTAGTTGAAAAACTTCACGCTCAAATTAATGAACGGTACCATCCGCATTTAAAAATGTTCCATTCTTTCCTGGGTCTGCAAAATACGTTGCTATGCGACAAGGTGCACTGATTTCTAATTATTTCAGTGAGAGACCCACTGCGGAAGCTTATCATGTTATTATTGAGGAGGACAAATATCATTATTATAACTAGTAGCACTCGCTACGCCCTTGGTTAAAGGTGTATTCCCATTGATTTATTAAATAATTTTATTTTATTTTTATTTTATTGACAAAGACGGGGATCATACGGTTTGTGGGTCGAGCCCTTTAACGAAGGAAAACTAGCTACTAACACCACCGTACCGTATGCATCCAACCTCCTCCTAGGAAGAAATCGCCTTGCCTGTTATAAAAGAAGAAAAAAAGTATGTACATGAAAAGAAGAAGAATTATCATCTATAAAGTCTATATAAGAATTATAATGAAGAAAAGAGGTCCACCCCCCGGAGTGTAAATAATTCGAGGTAATTAAGACCAACCACAAAGGAATAGGAGAGCCTAGTACGTTATCGTTATATTCGCTAGGAATGATAAAGAAAGGATGTTGTCGATGATGTAGTTCGTTAGGCGAAACGCGGGAGTCGTGATTGATAACAGTTTGGCTCGAAGTTCTTCGGGTTTCAGTTGACCGGGTAGTAACCTTTGACCTTCGTTTGCGAGTCCGTTTAGTTTTATCTTTCCTTGATATTTTATTAGAACGTTCCCAAATGTGAAGTTTATCATTATGTGATCCAAATTTCTTTGAAGAAATACTAGTTAAAAAAGAAGAGAGAAATTCGAAAGTAATTTTTCGAGTTAAGTTGTGTTTGTGGGTGTACGATTGAATCATATCATAAAGGCATTGAGGGACCAATTGGTGAATAACCAGGTATATATCGTGCGATTGATCCAAAATATCGTTAAATAGCGATAAGCGACCAATGTTGTCAGGAAAAAATTTAATTAAACCCGGGTCGGGGATATGAGTCGCAAAAACCCGAGTGGTTGTTCGTATCCGGTTGTTGTGAGCATATCGGACAAGGAATACCAGTTGCCGGGTAAAGATTTCTGTGTTTGAAGAGAATATCACCACACGGCAGTATATGGTTAAGACTCTTTATTTTGAATGATTGGTAAGCTGATTTTTGGTCACTACAAACGTCCATTGTGTGGTTGTAATGAATCCAATCTTTGGTTAGTGGTCAATGTATCGAATCGAAGTGAAATTGTGGGAATAGCTGTTGAAGTGAGGAGTTGTTTAAGAATTCGTCGAAGACGCGGCATTCAGTAATATTGCGCGCGAACTTCCTGAGGTCCCGGTCAGTAGGGCCTATTGAATCCCATGTGGGAGTCTGAGGGAGTCACAAACTCGAGTTGGGTTAATTTCTAAAGGTGGGAGTGAACGTGCCATGTTAGCTAAATCATCGCTAAGGTCGTTGAAGGTATCGCCACTATGGCTCTTGACTTTGTGAAATTTAACGTTGAGGTTTTTGGTCACGATTACATGGTTGATAAGCTTCCACGCTGAATAGTTACTGATCTTTAAGAAGCGTCGAATAGAAATCAACTTATTGGAGATCTTGTGAAAAATATCAATGACATTTTGTGAATCGGTATATATATCGACTGTTGAGGAATTAATACAGACGAGAAGGGCCGATAAAAAGCGTATATTTCAGCTTTAGTACTTGAAGGGTTGAAGGCTATAGCTCCTTGAAAAGCAATAGGATCTTGAGTTGTAGCGTTAACGTTCGACGACTCGACCCATGCGAAACCCATTTGAGTGGTGGTTTGAGCCGAATTCTTTTTGGTGAATGAACCATCTGTGTAGAATGTTTGAATTCTAAATTGTTGCGCTAATGTTAATAAATATTTCGAACTATCTTCGTTTCCTATAAACAATTTAGGGATATAAAAAGGATATATTAAAATTATTATTGTAAGGAAGGTTAGTCTGTTCTAAGTTAGAACTATTTGTGGGATAAGTGAAAGTTGAGGAACGAAAGGGTAACAATGTTATATTTAAAAATGTTAAAAGCGAGTGTCCTAAGTGTTATTAAAGGTTTGATAGGGAAAATGTGATGTTTGACTTGGTTGAAGTTGGCAGGTTCGTAATTTTTTGAGTGTACGAAGAACTTGATTAAAGTATTTGTAGGATCAGCGAGAACGCAGATTTATTAAATAAGCCTTGATACTCGATAAAATGTCACGTGCAATGAGCACGCTGCAATGTCTGTGCGACATAAACCCCAATTAAACTATTTTTCTCCACATTTTTTATCCGCTACTGTCTACTTCTACCGCCACTACTACTGGAAATGACTCGCTCACGTTAGCGGACGAAATCAAAAAATATAAAACGAAAGAGCTTATCGACTTCTTGCGTAAGGAGGAGGAACTCAGCGAGAAGGTTTTCGAATTTTGGAAAGGGAAGAAGTTAATGGCCGTGACTTTCTCAAGACGAGCAAAGATTTTGCAGTATTTGGGACCCGCTTCGAGGCTTGCGGACTTCGCCAAGGAATGTAAGGAGAAAAGGTTACGCTCGTTCTACTCGTACAAGACCTAGAAAGACTTGAGAGAGGTGCTAGCGAAGTATGGAATCGAATGACATCGCAATTTGTCCCAAGTAAGTTTCCCTCCGCTTGTTATCTTGATAATATGTTTTACTAACGTGGTTGCTCTCTCTCTCGTGAAGAAACCACCCCATTAATGATAACGACGAAGTTTTGCAACACTGTATTAAGAAATAAGGCTCAGGCTAGGTAATATGGGGACAGTCGTTGAGTAACGAAGCTATCCACTGAATATTTCGTCTATCCTCCACGCGCGTCAAAATCTCACTGGTAAAGAGATCACGATAACCTTCAACTCGAAGTGTTGGGGAGGAAATGCGGGACGTGTGGATTACGCAATCAAGGCGCTCGAGGAACTAATTTGCATCCGGAGGGGAAGCAACATCAAATTTCCATTGGGTTTGCTCAGGTTAGTAAGCCTATTTTATTCCAGAGACTAGGAAGGTCCGTTCCACTAATTTTTTCGTTAACAGTACAGTATGGTGTGCAATGTGAGAGCGCCTACCAAACCAACAAGAAAACAAAAGGCGGATACTGCTTTCGGAGAGGATTACGACTATCTTTATGGAATCATCACCACGGCCACGGAATGGTACTTCCTCCTCTACACCACGGAAGGAATTTCATGTACGAGTGCCACGTTAGCCCATCGCTAAAGAAGAAAACGAAGCCGAATTACGAAAAAACGTGAAGCGGGTGATGGAGGTTATTGTTGGTTTATTGGAGGACAGGGTGGATGTTGAGAAGTAGCCGGCATTGAAAAAACAACGGGTCCAGGGGTATTTCGAAAAGGAACAATCGTGTATATTAATTTTTGCATGTATTGTCCCCGATATGTATTTATTTTGCTTCGCACTCCGCTTAAGTATTAATAAAGCTTCTTTACATTTACCACTTAACATTGAATATTTCCTGGTGCAAATAAAAAAATAACAATCATGTCATAGTTTGGAGACAGCATATCTCTGAGCTGGAGTCCGAGCTTAAGACTAAGAATGATGAACTTGAAGCTTGGAGGCAACGCGCTACTCTGAATTAGAAAAGATTGACGAGCTTAAAGCTCGAAGTGCTAATCTCGAGGTCGAGAATTTCGATTTTAAAATCAAGGTTGCGAAGCTCATGCAGAAACACAAGTTTACAATCGAGGGTCTAAAACGAAAAGATACAGAGCTTGAGAGTAGACTCGCGAAAGTGGAACAGGTTCTCCGATAATGAATGAGCAGCCACAGAAGATTAAGGAAGCGTCGGATGAATAGTAGAGCAAGCGCAGGCCCAACCTAAAAATGCTAATAGTCTAATACCAAGACATGCGAAGCTTCCGAAAGGCAAAAGAAAACATTAGTGGTGAGAAGCAGAGTAAGCGGGAAAAGAAACAAATGCTTGAATCGGCCGAGCAGGGCTTGATTCGAGAAATGATTTCATTCAAGGAAGAAAATCATGTGACTGAAATTTCAGCAACCTTGAGTCGCCCAAATAATGAGACTTCGATAACAATCTATTCCAGTGAGAAATGGAAATATTATGAGTCTATATAAAATCGCGTGTGATGCGGAAGAAAAGGCAATTGAAGCTAATAGAGAAGAAACATTGCGTTGGTGTTTCTATGCTAGAGCATTTTATGGCCAGCAATAAAGTAGGGGAGAAGAGAGCGAAGGTCAGGTATATTATTTCATCATCAAATAGCTCATCGACACCAAGCGCAAAACTTTATGTAAAGCAGACACAGAGAGCTTTAAGAATTGTCAATTTATTCGAAAAAAATATGAATGGACAAAATTCAATACATCAAAACATATAGTGCGGATACTATTTCAAAATTTACTAGTTCTCAGATTCAAACGATTATGGATCACTTCACCGTAAAGCCCAATTTGGTGATCCCGAAGAGCAAAACGAGGATAATTCTTTCAATTTAGATACCAACCAGATGAGGTAAGCGTATAAAGTATCAACCGCACCTATTCCTTTAACTCATGTCTTTAATTTGGATGAGCTTCCCTAGCGGGAATCACAGAGGAGGATTTCTGGGGTAGTAAAGTTCCTCCGAAGGCAGAAGATTTGGCTCGATCAGAAGGTATCTCGGTACAATCATAATCTGGGCACAGCTCATATGAAAGGCGCAGTACGATATCGGACTTACCGAAAATAGGGACTATGCAATGTAAGATTGGATTTCGCATTTTTTACTCCGCGATTGTCCCATCCTCTAAAAAAAACTATTATCCGTGAAGATTTTGGGAATGTATAAGCTTATCGACACCGCCAGGTAGAGTTCCAATCCGTCATCCGACGGATAATCACATTTTGACAGTTGTACGCTCATTTAATTAATATAAAAGAGCATTTTTTTTTAAGGATATCCTAAGAGCATAATACAGTATATAATTTAATAAATAAACTTTTTTTTCAAAAATGAAAGTGAGGAGAAATTAGGAACGGATTAAAATATCATCCGACGGATGAAAATTTCAATCCGACTAAGATTTCACCCCATTTATTTTATGTTCAATTAATTAAATAATGCATAGTCTAATCACCTTACATAGAATGCAATTCCTAAATTATAAATTATGAAACATAAATGTCTCTTTCCAAAAATAAATGAGAAGAGATTGATCATCCGTCGGATGACGGATTGGAACTCTACCGCCAGGTGATTTGCAAGGGGGATTAACACAATGAATCGCCATATAATGTCTCGCACATAATTTTGTACGTGTAGACGTTTCACGTCCAGAACCAATACCTCGCTTGCTCCTGCGGAATTTCAAGCAATATATTAATATGCATTTTTTACTACTCCATATTTCGCCCAATTACGTCCTAGTTCGTCCTAGTTCATTTAACGTCTCAAAATACACTTTGAACCAATTTTAATAAACAAGACTTCGGGTCACCAAGCGGGAAACACTTGGATTTTCAAATTCTACGTCGGCAGGCTGGAATACAAATATGAAACCAATGTAGCCGAATATCACTTGGAATTCAAATTCGGTCTCTGGCAAGATAACGATAAAATGGTGGAATTCTCCGGACTGTTCATCTCGGAATTCACGAAGTCACATGACTCTGACGTCTTCCATTGTACATTATGAGTATATCCCGGGAATATTCTGGGATGTAACGGGGGATGAAACGGAGTCTTCTCACATGACTGACTGCGGTAGAGATGTCCTTCCAGTCATCCATCGGGCACCTTCTAGGCCTTCCTTTGCAAACAAATAGGGTAGGAAAGCAGCCAATTCACTTCCCAAACCCATGTAAGCAATTATCTTACAAACTATCCCAGACATGCCCGTACAGTTTTGATCAGATTGGCAGGGACCCGCAACAATCACGTGATATGACACTTCACAGTACAAATGGCCACTTCACTGGCAAAACCCTATAACAGATGCACTAAAACTGAAATTTGACTATTTATAACAATAGTCTTTATTTTTATATCTGCGCCCTAGTTATTGTGAAACTTATTTAATACCTAAGGATGTCTATCAGGAGATACAATTTGGTTTAAAAATATAATCGGCTGTTTTTTAATGTATTGGGAAAAAGGGATAACATTATGTAATGACTATCACTCATTTAAAGAACTTGATTAAGGGGCAATATAATCGGATATTCGGAGACAGTAGTACAATATATTCGGCTATCTGTATAAAGTAAATGCGGGGTTTTATTGAATTACTATATAGGGTATACTCAACAACATATGGTTTTCTTATTGCAATTTTATCTGATATTTCCCGATATGGTAATGAAAGAAACTCAATATGACTTTGGTATCAACTAAAATAGAAATTGCAACAAAAATTTAGATCATCGACTTACGATGAAAGGATTGTGAATTTTCGTGCTTAGTTAGCTGTTAATTTGTTAATTTGTTATAAAAACCCATGAACATGGACTTTAAGAACAGTAATAAGATGGCAGAACATATACAAGTTCTCTTGCATACAAAAGACCCATCAAACAGAATGTACATCCTCGCACTTGCACTTACAACTCATACCTTCTTTAAAATTAAAGTATCGTCTCCCGAAGAAATCATAGAACGAAGCATCAAACGTAATTATAAAAGCCCTTTAAAAAACGCATATATGATTTTTATGACTGATTGTAGCGAGGCATTCAAAGATGCAAAATCAGAAAAGAAATTTCGTCAAAACTCTGAATGTTTTAAGGATTTTCCGTCACTTTGGAAAATATCTCCACAAGAAGTCAAAGACGTATATGAACAAGTTCTTGCAAGCTATAGGAAATTAAAACCGATAAGCCAAAATTTTTTTGAATTTCATCCTCAAAATAATGCGAATGAATCACAAGAAAATACTGCAGATCAAGCAACGAGAATTAATTGTTGAAAATACTGTTGACAATTATGACTGTCAACAAGAGAAAGATGGAACGAAATTTCGTCTACGGTTTACCGGCTGAAAAAATTAAAATTGGTTAAGTTATGTTAATCGTTAGTTAAGTTAGTCAACATTCGAATTCCCTATTCGTTACACTTTTTCCTACAATCTCTTCTATTCGTATTTTCCTAAAATCTGAATTTCACATTTAACTCGAATACCCAAAATCTGAATAAACTAGTTAGTGATATTGTATGTTATACGAACATCCGACTATGTATAATTATGTATAATAATAAAATTTTCATGTTTAGAATTTAGATACCATGAGGTTGATCGTGTCCATTGTTAATGTTATATACATCAATCACTAAGCCTTTTTTTAGCAAAGAAATAATTTTTTAGCATTGAAAACCACAAAAAGTGGGGCATACTTATTTATTTATTTATTGACGTTTGTGACATTGGATCTTGGGTTACACATTGATTTAAAGATAAACGTTAAATTTTTTGCATTGAAGTTTCTTAAACAGACAATGTGTTTTGTTGAAATTTGAACCACTGTAGTAATCTAAAGGCCGCTTGGTTTTCGCCTAATTTATAAAGGATGTCATTTAAAATATAAAAAAAGTTTTTGAAGGGTTACGGTAAATTTCACCGAAATCTGCGAATCCGTATTACTGAAAGTCACTTGACCGAAATGTCATGAGATTCAATTTCGTTTTGCCGAAATCACGGCAAAATGAAATTGGATTTTTGATTTTAACAAATACTTTATTATATAATTTATTGTATCATATTTTTTGGTCACTGCAAAATCTGTAAATTTTGTTGTTAAGGTGGTAAGGTTTTGATATTAATAGGAAAATGGTGATTAAGTCCGTCGCGTTATTCAATTCAATTTTTATTATTTCATTATGACAAACATATTAATATAACAGATAATGTTTATTTAAATTATTAGTTTCTATTTTTTTTTAAAAAAAAAAAAAATGATTGTATAATAAAAACAAAAATTATTAAATCTATGGTAATAAAAGAATAAAATGATGATTATATAACACTAAATAGGCGGTATTGAGAAAAATTCTCGCGGCGGATTTTTCTTACATAGTTTAAATTTATATGAATTCATGTAATAATGTAGACTTTTTGAAATTTTTTAAATAAAAGAAATTATAAATTATAAATCAGAAATTATATAAACGCATTTCTAGAAATGAATGTACGAGGAGTAAGTATTTGAGGATATTTTTTTTTTTTTGGTTAGTAAAAATCATTCTTAAATTAAACCGTTGGCATTAATACAATTAAGTTTTAAATGTGAAGCGTGTGATGAATTTTATACTAATATACTAATAGCAATCAGTTATTTAAAATCATGTGATAATAAGTCAATGACCAAATTTTGACATCATTATTTCATATTTTCATTACATCAGATTTATAATATGGTTAAGTTCAAACGCCTAACATTTCTTCTGTTCACGTTTACTTTTAATAAAACTATAAATGTATAAAATGTATTCGCACATCAATTTAACCAGCAAGAGTCTGGCTCAAGCTCAGCTTAAAAAATTGTACTGAAATCAACTTTTCAATTCAATCTAAATTGCTTTCCAATTTGACTTTTGATATCTTAATTCTATCAGTAATCAATGATTACTGGAATTTCGCTGTTGAAATAATTATTAACATAGGATCAAATAAAACTTATGTAAGAAGTCATTTTCCACTGAACTATGCAAAAAATTAAAATCTTCTCGATAATGAATAAATTTATTGTTAATTGAAATACAAAGTACGGCTTTATTGTATTGAAAGTACAGAATGTTTATTAAATGATATTTTCTTGCAAAACTCAAATTATTGCCCTGAACTGGGTCAGGAAGATTTACCTTTTCAGGGCTGGAATTATCAAAAAGGGAAAAGTCTATTTCTCTTATAATACACCAAAAAAACAGAGCATTGTAAATGATCTATAATATCTAATGAAGAATACTGTTTAATTATTGATCGATGAAAGATATCATGTTTTTACTATTCATGAAATAGATGTTATTAATAAAAAAAACTCTAAAACGTTAATCAATACAAACACAATACCGTACAATATCCTCATTAAACTGAATTAACATTTATATGGAGCCAAAAAAAAGAATATACTACTAATTTATTGAAAAATTATTTATTCGAAAATAACGATTCAATCCAATAAAAATTAAAACTAAAAATTGTTAAATCTGAAAACATTGAATTCTTTTAATAGAATTCGCACAGATCTAACGGAGTTAAAATCTTAAAAGATCACTTTAGAGTGACCGTTAAACATAAAAAAAAGAAAGAAATTCCTTCATTCAGAGTTCAATTCTGAGTTATATTGATCTATTGAAAAAAATTATCGATATTGTTTTTCGCGAAAAAAAACTATAAAAGGTGAAATATAAAACATGAAAAAAGCTTATTAATTGAGAATATTGAAAAAAGGCTTTTTTTTTCTACAGAGTTGGAGTGTCCAAAATTTAAATTTTTTTTTATATTAATAATAATAGAGTAGAGTCATCCATGATAGCGAAGTATTAAAAAATTGTAGCATGCTTTCGATGCTTACGATATAAAAAAAAAAAGCTTACTGACGAAATAAAAAAGAGCATGTATAGTGCAAAAATTTTATAATGTATATAAACATAAAAAAAGGAAAGAAGAAATTCTTCTGCTTCTGGATTAATTACCTCGAAAAAGTCCCTAATTCTTTTAAATTTTTTTCGTCCTTTCAAAAAACAAAAAAAAACTTTTTTCGCAAAAAAAAGGTAAAAAGGTGAAATATAAAACATGAAAAAGGTAAAAGCTTACTACTTGAGTATTAGAAGTATTAAGAAAGTTTGTTGACGAAGCGAAAAAAAAAGCACGAAATAATAAAAAAAAAAGCTTACTGGCAATAAAAGAGTATATATAGTGTATACTACTTGAGTATTAAAAAAAAAGTACGAAATAAAAAAAAAGCTTATTAACGATATTAACGAAATATTAACGAATTAATTTAATAAAAGTTTGTTGATGAAACTTTAACGGAAGCTGGACCCATTAAAAAATTGATTTGTAAATGGATCGTTTGTGTTTTGTCTCAATAGTTGATAATTTTCTTGAATAATTTCGGAATCATTCCAAGCTTCATTAATTTCAGCATGGATTTTATTCAATTTTGAAGCTTTAATAGAACGATGTTTAGAGTTGTTAAACAAAGTTTTGAAATAATGCAGTCTAAAAAGCTGGAAGGCATTCAAATTTCTATGTTGTTGTTCCAGATTTTCCGCTGAGGGAATTTTCCAAGTCAAAAATTTTTCATTTGATCTTAAAATTAAAACTTCGTTTTTGTCTAATAAAGCTCTGGTTCTCCTCTTAAGGGCTGATTCACATCGTAAAACATAGCTTAATTCATCAACTTGAATAACATTTCTTTGCGGTAATTGCGGTAAAAAATATCTAAAATTTATTTATAAATAACAAATAAATCAAATCGACAAAATTACTAAATAAGAAATTCAAGCCATTTTTTTTCATTAAAAATTTTTACCTTTGCTTCAAGTTTCTATCATCCATCACTTAAAAGAATAGAAATTTAAATTCCTATGATTAATGATAAAGATAAACAATTCTGCCTTTGATTTTATATTTGATGTAGATCCATGCAAAGATAGTACAAAATGCCTAATTTAGATATGCCAACATCTTATAAAAATATTGTCCTAACATTATCGATATTCTTACTGCTTTCAACCATATTGCGTTCCACGAATTTTTTAATAAAATAAACCTCTTTTTTTTATAACAGAGGGTTGAACAATTCTCTTTCTTTCATTAAGAATGTCAGAACCTCTTTCCAAAATAAAAGTCCTTCTAGATAATGATCCTTCAGAAAGATTCCACTTTGTAGTTCTTGATAGTGAAACTCCACGATATATGAGCGTTAAGATATCTTCTGCTATAGAACATATCGAACGCGGTAACGAACGTAATTATAAGAGTCCCTTGAGGAACCTATATATGCTATTTAGGAATGATATTACCGATACATGGAATTTGGCAAAAGAAACTAAAAAATTTCGCAAATACCCTGAATCGTTTAAGAATATTTCATTAATTTGGAATAATTTGCCAAAAAACGTCGTTGAAATTTATGAACAAATTTACACTAATTATAAGGAATTAATTCCAAAATTTGAAGAATTTGTTCCTTATGCTCCTCAAGGAGAAAATGAAGAAAATATGGATGAAAATATCGTTGAAACGGGAGCAGAAAATATCGAAAAGTTTGTTAATAATTCCGAAACCTTGGTTTTTCGATCTGAAGAACATCAACATTTTACTTCTGCTAATCGCGATAATTTGCCTCTTATAACCAAATCAGTTGAAAAAAATGAAGTAGTTTCAGGTTTAGGTATGCTTTTCCTTAGTTGCAAAATTTTATATAATTTTTTGTTATCTAATTAAAACATATTATATGCGCCAGTTCAATCATCGGAACTTTATACATCAGAAATGCAATATAATTCGCATGATCTTAACAGCGAAATTAATACGGGGAGTGATAATATGAGAGGATTCCCAAAGTTTATTCAATATTCTCCCCCCAAAAATGTAAATAAAAGAGAAGATTTTGAAGAATTTATTAACTACTCCGAGGCTTCGGTTTTTCGACCCGAGGAATATCAACATTTTACTTCAGCTAATTATAATAATTTACCTCCTACGGGTGAAAAAACTGAAGTCGTTTCAGATTTAGGTATGCTTTTTCCTATAGTTGTAAGAATTTATAATCTTTTATTGATTGTCTGGATTAAAATTCATTAGATTCATATAATAATTGTGTGCCAGTTCAACCATCGGAACTTTATACATCAGAAATGCAATATAATTTGCATGATCTTAACAGCGAAATTGAAATCGAAATGTATTTAAACTCCCTATCAAACACTGAGAATGATAATGCGGAAGGACTCCCAACTTTTTATCAATCATTTTGATAACTATAAACGGCCCTTTCCGCTCTATGCTAAATTTCAACACTAATTCTTAAGTTTTATGCTTTTCTTTAAATATGCTTATGGTCAAAATTGTTTAAGCTCTATTAAATATAGCAGCCTAACAAATTTAAAGATACCCTTCTTTTTCTTTTTTGAATCGTAAATTTATACATAATCATTCCTTTAAGAAAATAGTTTTTTTTTTTTTTTTTACGCTAACTACTTTATATGAAGACTTTTTTTTCACCTACTTAATTTATAGTTTTAATAATTTTAACTTTCAATTAAATTATAGGATCATACTTTCACCAAAAAAGAAATTTAAATATTTAATGGCGATAGTTCCCCATTTTTGTTATTTGTACCCCCCTCTGGCCAGCATTATGCGATGATATCGCTTGGCCAAATTTTCCTTAATTCTGGCCATGGGGTACGAATAACAAAATTGAGGGTAAAATAGCAATGGCCTATTTAATAATCGTTATTTTAAAGGAAATAATTGAATTTATGGTTTTATATAGATATATTTATTAACCCTTTAACTGTACTGGCTATTTTCCTGGAATTAATTAATAATTTTAGAATCAATAAAAAAAGGGTAAAACAATTTTTAAAAGATAATACTGCATGGTATAACATCCCCTCTTTTTAGCACCTTTCGTGTAAAATACGTCTTGATTACAGTAAATATAAATTTTTAAGTGTCATATTTTAGTAAATATTGTGTGTGTGTATATATAAAAAAAACCTATAAATTTTGAATGTTTAAACGGCATGTGAAATAACGTCATTATGGTTATTATGGTTTATAAAGAAAATTTTAAATCATTCGATCTTTTTTTATAACAATACGCATGTTTAAATATGTATATCGAGTTCTTGCTATTAACATAACCTTCTGTTAATTATTTTTTTTATTAAAAAGGTCAAATTAATTAAATTTTAAGGAGTTCGATATTTTATTGTAAACTAAAAATTAAATAGTACAATCTCACATGCTTTAACATCATGAAATTGATTGTTTTTCATGTTTTACTCTAACCCAAAGAAATTTGATGTTATTATTCATGACTTTGTTTGGATAAAATCAAATCTGTTTTATCGAATATCGCAAACGTATTATTTATTATTGGTACATTTTTTTGATTATCATCAAGAAGTTTTATAAACGAGCGTACAATTTCTCAAATTCGAAACTTTTAGATCTAAATTCATAAAATTTTTTCAAATAAAGAAGAATGCCAAAAGTTAACACAAATTTACAAATTACTCGCGTAAATCGTCGTAATAATACAGACAAAAATTCTTCAAATGGGATTAAAACAACTTCAGAATTATTATTAGGACTTAAAGCAGAACATATTCCTTTACCTGATACTCAATATATTAAACGTATATTAGAAAATTCTCGTAGAGCAAAATCAAAGAAAAATGATCCTCCAAGACCTCCTAATGCATTTTTCTTATTTCGTAATGCATTAAATTCTCATTTAGCGACTCGTAATTTAAAAGTACCTCAAATTAGTATGGCAGCAGGTGAATTATGGGGTACTGCTAGTGAAGAAATCAAAAATCATTATACAAAATTACAAGAAATTGCTAAAGTTTTACATTTAGAAATGCATCCTGGATACGTATATAGACCTAGAAAAAATTTCCCTACTCCTAATCCTCCTATTCATTCTTCGGATAAAAATTCTTCTGAAAGTTTGACTTCAACTACAACTTCTTTGTCTCCTTCAATTTCTGAGCCATCTACATCTACGAAATTCATTACTTCGAGATTAGCGCAGTTATCTTTTATTAAACATAATCAAATAAATATTCCTTCATTAAACAGACCCAATTCTTCTTTCTCTTTTAACGGTAATATATTTACACCTGAACATAATAATAATCGAAATCAGGAATTACCGGAATTTCATCAGATATTTGCTAATAATAATACGCCAAAAATTCCACAAGTCTTTTCTCAACAACGACAATTCGTTCCTACGCGTTTAATTAGAACTCTTACTCCGGTACCAAATCAGAGTCAAGGATATCATGATATCAATAATCATTTTGCTCGTCATCAATTCATATCTCAACAACAACGAAGTCAAATTGATCCAGTTTTAATCACCACATTAACTTCAGTTACAACTTTGCCTGTTAATATGGGACATATTAACTCAACAGTAGCGTCAAATACTTCAAATGATATCATTGAAAATCAACCGACGAATCCTGCCGCTTTTAACGTAGCACAAAAGAATTCTTTGACGACTAATGGATTGGATTTGACTATGATGACGCAACAGGGATGTCATTATCGCCGTCAGAATGAGGCTTTTAATGATTGGATCAATTGGAATCATTTTTGAAATTATTAAGTAGATTTATATTTTTTTAAATTGAAAAATTATGTAAAAATTTAAGAATCGTAAGTGATTTTATTAAGATTACAAATAAGTTCGTTAGATACTGATAAGTTCGTTAGAATTGAATTTTAAGAATTCTTGTTATGTAAAATTTTTCCTTTACTATATAATTCTTTTTTTTTTATATATTTTAGTTCTTATTTTGCTTTTTTTTTATATTCAGTTATTTTTGAAATCAGTTTTTTCATATTTTTTTTTTTTTCTTACATAAAATTTTTTAACAAAATAAATTAGTTGCTGCGGATTCATAAACGCAGAGGCCCAATAAAATCATAAAAATTGACCACTGTTAATTATTACTAATTTTTTGAATTTTGTACGTGCAATTGAAAACGATTATTAATTTATTATAACCATATTAAGAACAACGTGTTTTTTTCGTTTATACAATACAAATTTCTAAGAAATTGTTGAAAAATTTTAGTTCAGAAGAATATTTGGTGTAATTATTAAATATAATGTTCTAGATGGATAAATTCTTTCGCCTTAATAATTAATAATTATCTCCGTACTCCTGATTTTTTATTACGCCCTTTAAAAGCCGATAACATAAATCAATTGTTTTTTAAATTGCTAATTATATTCAAGCTGTTGATATGTTCATAATCATTATTCGAAAAAAAAGTATTAGTTCTGTATTATTTGAATTATTTGTTTACAGTATAACGGATCGCTCGTGAATATCATGAGCACCAATTTCTTTTACCAATTTATTAAATTAATACAATTATTTTCATTTATGTATTATTGATATAATAAATATATAATAAATATATAAGTTTACTAAAAAATAAATATATATAATTAAATGGTTAAATATTTTCGTTTACGTAAATAATAATAAAAAAAAATTATAATAACAATTATATAAAGAACAAACATGAAGATTTTAATGTATATTAATTTAATAGAATTTTTAAATATACATATATTTTTTTTGTGATAGGGTCTTCAATCAAGAATTGTGACGATAATAACTATCAGCATCACAAATTTTTAGGCGAGTTAGATCTGAAATTACATTGTGCGTGATTTTTTATATCGGCTGTAACATTACTAATAGTTAATACACATACTTTCGTTAACTACAGTAGTAAATGTACATTATACTTTATTAGTTTTTTATCGAAATTCAGCCACCTCAGAGAATTATTGCTCTTTTTCAGTTAGCACTTTTGTGGCGTAGTATCCCTTTGCGATTCAACAAATTATTTATTTATTAAAAGTATAATGATGGCATTGTACAAGATTTATTTTCGATCGCTCTCTGTACTTTTTTTTTTATTAAGAAGATTATTATTAAGGATATACAGTAATAAGGAACGCTTTTACTTTTCTAACCGTACTAATTTAATTGAATAGCCAATAATATAAGTTGCACGAGTATTAAATAAGCACATGATTTGCAGGTAAAGTATCACATGCGAACATTGTTTTTAATCTTTAAAAATGAAATTGTTATAAACAAACAATAATTAGAATCAATCGATTAAAAGATCGAAATATTTTTCATGTTCTATAATTAATTAAAAGTAAGATTTAACTTGTTTTTTAACAATATATATTTCTTTACATTGTTTGTAAATATTTCGCATCATGAGAAAATAATTATTATATTTATCGTATTAACAAAACAGCATTATATTTATATAACACGTGGAATCTGTGCGGTTTATTTGTTCCTTGAGAAAGATTCGAAAGATTCTTACATAATTAAACAAGATTAAACTGATTGATAATCTGACTTACTTTTTGACGCAATTTCGCGTCTATACTCAAAATAGAATATTAATTCTTTAAGCTTGATTCTTTTTCCTAAAATATCAGTTAAGCTTCCTTTGGAAATAAATTATGTGAAATTATCAATTTAATAAATAATAAAAGATTATGTAATGTATTTGTATGTAATACATGGTAGTTTTTTTAACGTAATTTTATATAATTAATTTGATTTATAATCGGAAAAAAAAATTCGTATATATTTCAGTAAATCTATGAAACGCGTCTAAAAAAAATTCATAAAACATGGCATCAAAATTTCATGACAGTCTTTCGCAAGATTTCATTAATGTTAAGTGACGCTGATGATTATAATGTTAATATTCAAGTTGGAGAAAATGAGAATATAAAAGAATTTCATGCGCATTCAAATGTTTTGAGAGCTCGTTCTCCTTATTTTAAAAGTGCATTTTCGAATAAATGGATCGCTAAAACGAATAATAATATGATCGAATTTGAAAACCCAAATATTAATCCCACCGTTTTTGAAATAATTCTCAGATAATATTAATTTATTTTTTAATTTTTAAAAACACTTTTGTTAAAGAAAATTGATATTGATCCAATTTCACTTGTTCGATTATTATAAAAAAGAAATATTTACACAGGAGAAATTGATTTAACCAAGCAAATAGGTACGGATATTCTTGGACTTTTGGTTGCATCCGATGAATTGCTTCTAGAAGAATTATTTAAATATGTACAAGATTATTTAATCGAAAAACAATCAATTTGGATTCAACATAATTTTGCATACAATATTTAAACTTACTAGCTGTAAAAAATTACAAATTGAATCCATTTGCGCAGATCCACAACCATTTATCACTTCAAAAGATTTTCCATCACTTGATAAAGATATTCTTTACAAATTTCTTGAAAGGGATGATTACATATTGAAGAAATTGTTGCTTGGGATTATTTAATTAAATGGGGTATTGATCAAACTCCTGATTTAGGAATTAATAATAATAATAAAATTAATTGGAATAATAACAATTATGAATCATTAAAGAAAACTTTAAATCAATTTATTCCTCTTATTAGATTTTCAGAAATTGATTCCGCTGATTTTTATGATCAAGTACGCCCTTATAAACAAATTATTCCTCAATATATTTATGAGAATTTTATTTGAAAAATACTTACCAAAAACTACACAAATTATCATATTGATTCAAAAATTATTAAATCAAGACTTATTAATATAATATCTAATCAATAAATTTATTCGTAATAAAAATGATTCATTATATAATTTTAACCTTTTATATCAAGGTAGTCGTGATGGTATTAATAGTAATACATTTAATATTTATTGTTCTAATCAAATACCAAGTTTAGTTTTAGTAAAAGATCAAGCTTCAACAAAATATATGGTGGTCATAGTCCAATAGGTTTTAGAAATAATAAAAATAATAGTAATCGTTGGAATTATACAACGGATAGTTTTATAAAATAATCAAGATATTAAAATAAGTCGTGTTACAAATTATAATTATGCTATACATGAACATCGTAATCATGATATTCAGGTTATTATGATGATAATGTTATAAATTCAAGTATGAATATCAATTTTATTCTGGAGGAAATTGAATTATTTAATGTAGTCTCTTCGTAATAATTTACAGTGTATACAGTATATCAATTTACGTTCATAAAATAAATTTGAAGTTAGAACAATTCGCATGACACGATATCTCGTTTTAAAAATTGTCAAATTAATAATTACCAAAAAAAAAAATTGAAAATTCATGCGCTTTATTACGCATCCTATAATTCCGGCCGGAACTAGTTTAATGCAGGCCATAATCCTCATAATTCTGCTTATTTAGGTGGTGCTTAATTTAAGAACTATCTGGTATTTATTTAGTTTGTTGCTTAACTTCGGAACTATCTGCTATATGGTATTTATTTCGTTGCCGTATAATACATATGAACTATTTAACTTATTATACAGTAAAATTGTCACGACTTTCACAATCTCATTCTATCTTAAACGTAACATTTTTTGAAACATTTATTACACAATATGTATTTTATTTAGCTAAGTCAGTTTGTAATACATTTCCTTACAATTCACTTTAAAGGAATATTTGTGTAACATGTAACGTAACATGTAGCATAGCATTATTTGATATAAATTTGAGAAGTCAGAACGCATTAAATTTGGTTTGCTCTCAAAAATAATATGCTGACATTCGATGTTCTCTCTATAGAAGAAACAATTACAATACTCGGACCTAATAATAACTATATTACATTTACTTTCCCAAAATCAGAAGAAATTTTAAACAGAAGTTACAAGAAGAACCTGAACGCTTTTTTTCTTTTTCAAAACGATCTAAAAAAAGCAATTAAAAAATCAAAGAGTTCATCAAATCAATTTGTTGAATTCATAAACAATATCCCTATTATTTGGGATAAAACTCCAGAAACAATAAAAAGCAAGTATAAAGTTCTCTCTGGAGAACTCGAAAAGTTAAATAAACCTTCCGGCCTTACAATTGTATCCTACGATCCGGGCCAAAAAAAAAAATATAAAAGAAGACCGAAGGAAAACTATATTCGTCAACGTAATGATAAGATAAATAAAGAAAAAAAAAATTTAGATAAATTAAGTGTTGATAAGAATTTTTCTTTAATGAATCCTGAAGCGAAGCCTCCGCCAGTCATAAGTTCCGTAGTTCCTCCGCTTGAATTATCTGGAGTTTTTATGCTGCCACCGGACGAAAGTTCTGTATCGCCTCCTCTTCAATTGATGGATCTTATGAAAAATACTAGTCTTATTCCAGACGTAAGCTATCCTGTGATTCCTTCAAATCCTCTTCCGGACGTGATTCCTTTGCCTTCCCAGTTTCAATCTACGGAAACCGATTTTTTTATGGAGAATACGGCTATATATGATCAATATGCGGAATATTTTAGATTGAAAAATTATGAGAATACTGTTGATTATTTTGATTATTCAAACTACGCAAACAATTTTCTTTAGTTTTTTATCTTTTTTTTTGTTTATTTAAATGTTATTTCAATTCATCTTTTGTGCGTTTATGATATTTTTTCATTCATTTTTTTTTCAAACTGTATCTAAATGCAACTAAATAAACTGGATGGCTTTCCATTATTTTACTGTTCGTCAAAATTTCATTTTTTAAATCTTTTTCTTCGTGGTTTTACTGCGTATTATGAAATCGGTCTAACTCGAAAAAGTTAAATGTACTCCATTTTTAATTACATAAATAAATTTCCTTACGATTACCTTAAAAGGCATGTCTAAGCATTGATTAATTATCGTATGAATAATATAAATAATTTTTCCTTACGATTTACTTATTTGGAAATGAACAAAAAATTGTGAAACAAATTTGCCTGTCAATTTATGTGCGCACCTGATTAGAGAATTGTATTTAATGTTTCCATCGTCTTAAAATTTTGCCTTTTCATGAAATTGTAAAATGAGGTTTAAATGTTTTTTGTCTGAAGACGAAATTTCCAGTAAATCATATATCATCGTTTTACAACCTGAAAGAAATAAATATTTAAAGTGGGAATTACCTTCTCCCCAAGCTACTGCGGACTTAATCAAATCAGAAAATATTAAACTACCTGTTAAATCTTATACCATCTTTAAATTGAATTGTGCTTCTGCTATTCGTGAATCACATAATTTTATTACGGATACCAGGGAAGTGGAGATCATTAAAACAACTATTGCTATTTGGAACTGCGCAGAAGAAAATATTAAAGAGAAATACAACCAGCTTAACATGAATCTCCGTGATCTAGGTAAGAATAGTGAGTTTTTTTGCTAGAAAGTTTTCTTAATTTAATTAATTTCTTTTGCCAAAATTTTTTTTTCACACAGAATCTCCAGCACACTCAGAACTTCCTGAAGTAACTCCTGAAGTGGTGGCTCAGGACTGTAAGATTAATTTAGTATCCCCTAGCACTAAATGTAAGATTAATTTTTTTTTTCGCAGTTTTTTTTTAATAAAATGGTTTAAAATTTTTACCAATCTAATTAATGCCGAATTTTTTTTTTTAATTTTAGTATCCCTTGAATGGGGTAAGATTAATTTTTATTACCATTTTTTTTTTAAAAAAAAAAAAATATGTATTTTAATAAAATAGTTTATTAATTACTTTTGCCAACCTATTTTTTAATTTTAATATCTTAACAGAACGTAAGATTAATTTTCATTAACATTTTTTTTAAGAAAAATATGTATTTTAACAAAATGGTTAAATAATTTTACTAATTAATTTATAATGGCACATTAATGACCAGTATCACCAATACCACGATCAACTGGTAAAATTAATTTTGTTTTTATTTGAAGACTTTTTTTAAAAAAACATATTTAATTAGGCAGAAACGTTCTAAAAATTTTACTTTTTTCTTTTGCCAAATTTTTTTTTAATTTTAGCATTCCGTCCTAGACCACGTCCATTTATATTGAGTAAAATAAATTTTGTTCTTATTTGAAGACTTTTTTTTTTTGAAAAAAACATATTTAATTAGGCAGAAACGTTCTAAATATTTTACTTTTTTCTTTTGACAAATTTTTTTTTTTT